GGATTTCGGGTTTAGGGGTTTGGGGTTCAGGGTTTTAGGGTTTAGGGTTTAAAATTTAGGGTAATAGGATAAATATAGCTATGTAACCCATACTCCAGGACGTACAACCTCACGTACACCTATCCATGAACCTGCAAGTATGCAAACCCGAAAGCTTGCCTACATCGAACAGAAACCAAAGCAATGAGACAGCAGACCCAGGAACATCAGTTCCAAGGACACACTCCTCGTCATGTAATGGCAGCAGCAAGCACGCCCTAAAGGGTTTAGAACTCAGGGAGGCTAATCGCGAGGGATTCCCTCCCGGATTGCTAAAGCTCGTGAAACTCGAAGCCTTCAGAACACCGAAACCCACGTAGCTACAACACCCCAACCCGCTAATGTAGGGCCCCTTAACAATTAGAACAAGCTTTTGGGGTATATTGTACTGTTATAATAAGGAAACCCCCACAATAGTATTCGTAATTATTTCGGCTGCTACATTCACCCCAAGACGAGACTTTTTCGATCCGCTCTGGCCGCGCGCCAGTCCAAGGCAAAGTCGAGGGTTTCGGGTTTAGGAGTTTAAGGTCCCCCAAACCACCAACCCCGACCTATAGCCGCTGTAGCCGAAAAGACCTCCCGTTTTAGGGTTTAGGGTTTAGGGTTCATCATTATGGCTTCGATAGATACTTCCTCGAAAAGGTAGGTCTTTTGGGCCACAAACAAGCCTTGGTCGCTAAACGCGGTTTGGAGCTGACCTAGACTTTTCCCCGACTGTGGGGGGTTCGGATAAGAATCCTTGTGAAGGAAGGAGGGTTTTGGTGCTTAGGGTTTAGGAGGGTTTTGGGGCTTAGCGTTTAGGGTTTAGGGTTTAGGGTTTAGGGTTAGGGTTTAGGGTTTTAAAGGTTGAAGGTTTTAGGGTGTAGGGTTAAGGTTTAGGGTTGAGGGTTTAGGGCTTAAGGTTAGAAACCTTAAACCTCCGAGCCCCCACAGACTCAACCCTAAACCCTAAACCCTCAACCCTAAACCCTAAACCCTAAACGCTAAACCCTAAACCCTTTACGCTTCAGAGGGGATGTGCTCCGCCAGGTTCATCTCGAAGTCTGCGATCGACGTGAAGTTGTGGTCCTCCACTGAAAGGATCCGAGGACTTAGTAAGGGCTTAGTTTGGAGTTCAGTTAGGGTTTAGGGTTTAGGGTTTCCTTGTTTAGGGCTTAGGGTTTAGGGTCTAGAGTTTGGGGTTTATTGCTAGAAATTTGCAGTTCAGGGGAGGTGCGTCTTCGGGCCCTTCTTCTACGACCCGGGGGCTTAACATGTAGGAGTCCAAGACACACTTAACAGGGTCTGTACAGGGTGCCATGTCACAGGTGTGGCTTATGTAGGGGCCTTGATAGTTAGAATAGTGTTTTGGGGTCCATTCAACTATAACTATCATCAGGTACCTCTTATTAAGGCCCCTATATTACTATCCAACTCAGCTACCAACAGATTGCTCTTCGGCGTGCCCTGATGCAGTGATTTTTCACTGCTGTGCCTGCCATCTCAAGTGCCTACAGCATATGCCTGAGCAGCAACAGCAAAGAAGTAGTCGCATCTGAACCCCTACTCGCTTTAGTATATAAGGGAAATAACTATTTACTATTAGTGTTGATGGTACTAATGCGACTGTTCTCATCCTTTCCCAAAGGTTTAACATAAACGTGGTGCAAGAAGTCCAGGGAGCCGTGCTTGTAGCGCAACACATCCGAGTTCGGGGTGATGTGGGTGAAGTCGATGATCTCCAGTCTCACGCGGGAAAGCGCGGTGTAGGGGCACTGGAGACCGTTAAGCATGAAATGGTCCTTTTTCACATCTTTCACGCTGAAAGGCTCGGAACTCAAACTTCAGGTCACTCGCAAGACTGATGAAACCGACACCTTCCTTTGTGATCTTGTTGCCACCGAGCTTTGACTTGCCACCTGCGGCAACGTTGTCGTTGCCAATGAAAATCTCTTTGTCTTTGGCATATGCTTGCTTGAAGCGACGCTCGTGAATAATGTACTTCTTGAAAGGCGAGAGGAGGCGCGCCGCGGCTGGTGTGCCGGCAACTGCTTCGATCGCTTGCGTGCCTTGTCGGGGCCACCTGCATATGGACAGTTCTCTGAATTCCGGCTTTTTGGGGGTCTTTTTTATAAGGGTGCCGCACTATACTGGCGACCTAAAACGGACCCTAATTTAGAGAACTACCCATATGAAGCAAGTGTCGCTTACCAGCCAGTCAGGGCGAACTGGGATGGTACCCTCAAGGACCGCCGTGAAGAAGCGAGGGGAAGTTTACTCTCCGAATCCTTCTCGTTGAAGGCCCTACCCGAAGCTGACAAGACCTTAGGACTCCAATTATGGCTTCTATCTATGGTTCCTTGAAATCGCAGGTCTTTGGGCCACAGATAATCGCATGCTGGCAGACCGAGATTTAGAGACCTGAACATAAGCATCATTGGACTTAGTAAGTTTTCTGTTGTTGTTGGGTCTCATTGGGGTGTTAGGGCTTGGATTCCTACTTATGGATCATGGAGCTTGGCAGGCAACCACTGGGTCGTAAGTATGTACGTAAATGGGGTCACGTTCTTTGCAAGCCTCTGATAGCCACGAATGCTAAGCCTTAGCTGCTAAGCCCCCTGATTGACTCTTTAAGTCAAACTTGACGGGAGGGATTTTCGGTTCCCGGGCTTCGGGTTCATGGCTCAGGGGTTTAACCCTTAACCCTGAACCCTAAACCCCAAACACTGAACCCTGAACCCTAAAACCCCCCCTAAACCCTAACGGCTTCAGCAACCCGAGAGCCCTCAGCCCTGAGCTGTCCGTCACCGACCGAAGCATCCAGTTGTCCGCCATCGGCGAGATCCTAGGGCGTCTAGGATTCTGTGTCAGATTCCTTGAATTTCGGGGATTCCTTTCAGGGATCTGAAAGGGATCTATAAGGGTTCTTCTAAAGGTTTTAGGTCGGCTCCAGAGTTCAAGGTTTAGTATTTTAGACTTCCGGATGTAGGGATTAGAGTTCTGGGTTTCGGGCGAGAAGCTTAGCCAGCGATTCGCCAGGCCCCCCGCTACATCACCTTGTGTTCATTATCACCTCACCCTCTCGGAATCCCTCCAAACTCTAAGCCCTAAATCCCGAACACTCTTCAATTGTGATGTGTGCCTCGCTGTTCTTCTCCTCAGGCTTAACCCCACACCCGCAACCCTACATAAACCCAAACCCCTGACACTTAGGCTCGTAGCATCACAGAGGTGAGCGCTGTAACCCTCTGTCCGGAACCTTAAGTTTTTGGATCCTGGACCCTGGATCCTGAACTCTTAACCCTAACCCTTAAACCCTTTTAGGGTTTAGGGTTTAGGACCTTAAGCTCTGAACCCCAAGTGCTAAAGCCCACATCCTGAATCCCAACCCTAAACTATAAACCAAACCGCAAATCCTAAACTATAAACCCTAACTCGCTAATCCTGACCCCGAAGTCGAAGATCCCAGATCCTAAACACTGACTCCTCTTCTGCTTATGGAAAAAGAAAACCATGTCTGCCTTGTATTTTAGGTGTTTCAGGAAGAAGAATGGAGGGAGTAGTTCCCTACAATCTATCCTGATCATAGTCTCTGAAAACTTGCGGCGTTGGGATTCCTGGATACCGTAGCACCTTCGGGAGAAGCCACAAACCTATGCTAGAAGGCTAGAGCCCGATCCGGTTCCGCTGGCCACAAACACGAGGGGACTACAAGGGATAATGTTCATGATTATTCACCCCTCATGGTCAAATATATGAAGACTGAAAAGTATACTATTATTCCTAGTTCTTCAAACCCGATCGGATGCTCCGGATGCCTTGTTCAAGCATGACCGCTACCATTTCCAACGTGGCTGGGTTTAGGGTTTAGGGTTTAGGTTTTAGGGTTCAGGGTTTAGGGTTTGGGGCAAAATAGCTGGTATCGTTCTGAACACTGGAGAGTCACGAACCCTAAACCCGCGCAACAGTCTTGTCATTGTTGCTGACGGCGCCCGCCGGCGCCGCCGCCGTCGTAGTTGGAATATTGTGTTCGGCGGTACAATACACTATACCTATATTGGGACTAGAATGGGATGGTATGTCCACAGTATACCTAAGCCCCAATTCTTCAATCCCGCCTGTAGCCGAAAAGACCTACCTTTTAATTTTTTTCTATATATATATATATAATTATGCGTGAGGGTTTGGTATCGTTGATACACTATATGCTCACCTCACCGAGC